TGAGGCTGAGGCTGAGGCAGGCTGATGCTGAGGCAGGCTGAGGCTGAGGCTGAGGCTGATGCAGGGTGAGGCTGAGGCAGGCTGAGGCTGAGGCCGAGGCTGAAGGCAGACTGATGCTGAGGCTGAAGCAGGCTGAGGCTGAGGCTGAGGCAGGCTGAGGCTGAGGCAGGCTGAGGCTGAGGCTGAGGCACGCTGAGGCTGAGGCTGTGACTGTGACTGCCGTTGCCACTGCGACTGTCATCGCGAATGCGACTACGACTGCGAGAACAGCAGAATTCTACAACTGGATTGTCATCTGAATCTTAAGGGGAATGCTTCCAGATATGCTTCTACACATCGCTGTTAGGTTGCTTTGCCGGGATAATCGATTTTTGCCTAACAGCGAAGACTGATAGGTTTCTAGTGGGCTCAAAAATAGAGTATCTTGACTTCCCAGGGGGGTCTGGGCGGGATCCGGACGGGTGCCAGGGATTCCTTTTTTAGCAAACAGTAGGCCACTTCATGTTCTTCGAGTTCCCAGAACTCCATTCATGGGCATGATTTTGAATGCCCAGTGCCAACTGTAGGCCGCTTCATGGTCTTCGAGTTCCCAGAACTCCATTCCTGGGCATGATTTTGAATGCCCGGAGCCAACTATAGGCAACTATGTGGTCTTCGAGTTCTCAGAATTCCATTCCTGGGCATGATTTTGAATGCCCGGAGCCAACTGTAGGCCCCTTCGTGGTCTTGGAGTTCCCATAACTCCATTCCTGGGCATGATTTTGAATGCCCGGAGCCAATTGTAGGCCACTTCGTGTTCTTCGAGTTCCCAGAACGTCATTCCCGGGCCACATTTTGAATGCTGAGGCAGGCTGATGCTGAGGCTGAGGCAGGCTGAGGCTGAGGCAGGCTGAGGCTGAGACCGAGGCTGAAGGCAGGCTGGGGCTGAGGCTGAAGCAGGCTGAGGCTGAGGCTGAGGCAGGCTGAGGCTGAGGCTGAGGCCGGCTGATGCTGAGGCAGGCTGAGGCTGAGGCTGAGGCTGATGCAGGCTGAGGCTGAGGCAGGCTGAGGCTGAGGCCGAGGCTGAAGGCAGACTGAGGCTGAGGCTGAAGCAGGCTGAGGCTGAGGCTGAGGCAGGCTGAGGCTGAGGCTGAGGCAGGCTGATGCTGAGGCAGGCTGAGGCTGAGGCTGAGGCTGATGCAGGCTGAGGCTGAGGCAGGCTGAGGCTGAGGCTGAGGCTGAAGGCAGACTGAGGCTGAGGCTGAAGCAGGCTGAGGCTGAGGCTGAGGCTGAGGGCAGACTGAGGTTGAGGCTGAAGCAGGCTGAGGCTGAGGCTGAGGCAGGCTGAGGCTGAGGCTGAGGCAGGCTGATGCTGAGGCAGGCTGAGGCTGAGGCTGCGGTTCATGCAGGCGGAGGCTGAGGCAGGCTGATGCTGAGGCCGAGGCTGAAGGCAGACTGATGCTGAGGCTGAAGCAGGCTGAGGCTGAGGCTGAGGCAGGCTGCGGCTGAGGCTGAGGCAGGCTGAGGCTGAGGCAGGCTGAGGCTGAGGCTGAGTCTGATGCAGGCTGAGGCTGAGGCAGCCTGAGGCTGAGGCCGAGGCTGATGGCAGGCTGATGCTGAGGCTGAAGCAGGCTGAGGCTGAGGCTGAGACAGGCTGAGGATGAGGCTGAGGCAGGCTGAGGCTGAGGCAGGCTGAATCTGAGGCTCAGGCTGAGGCAGGCTCAGGGTGAGGCAGGCTGAGGCTGAGGCCGAGGCTGCAGACAGACTGAGGCTGTGGCTGAGGCAGGCTGAGGCTGAGGCTGAGGCTGAGGCAGGCTGATGCTGAGGCAGGCTGAGGCTGAGGCTGAGGCTGAGGCAGGCTGAGGCTGAGGCAGGCTGAGGCTGAGGCCAAGGCCGAAGGCAAACTGAAGTTGAGGCTGAAGCAGGCTGAGGCTGAGGCTAAGGCAGGCTGAGGCTGAGGCTGAGGCAGGCTGAGGCTGAGGCAGGCTGAGGCTGAGGCTGAGGCTGAGGCTGATTCAGGGTGAGGCTGAGGCAGGCTGAGGCTGAGGCCGAGGCTGAAGGCAGGCTGATGCTGAGGCTGAGGCAGGCTGATGCTGAGGCTGAGGCAGGCTGAGGCTGAGGCAGGCTGAGGCTGAGGCTGAGGCACGCTGAGGCTGAGGCTGTGACTGTGACTGCCGTTGCCACTGCGACTGTCATCGCGAATGCGACTACGACTGCGAGAACAGCAGAATTCTACAACTGGATTCTCATCTGAATCTGAAGGGGAGTGCTTCCAGATATGCTCCTACACATCGCTGTTAGGCTGCTTTGCCGGGATAATCGATTTTTGCCTAACAGCGAAGTTTGATAGGTTTCTAGTGGGCTCAAAAGAGAGCATCTTGACTCCCCAGGGGGGTCTGGGCGGGATCCGGACGGGTGCCAGGGATTCATTTTTTAGCAAACAGTAAGCCACTTCGTGTTCTTCGAGTTCCCAGAACTCCATTCCTGGGCATGACTTTGAATGCCCGGAGCCAACTGTAGGCCGCTTCGTGGTCTTCGAGTTCCCAGAACTCCATTCCTGGGCATGATTTTGAATGCCCGGAGCCAATTGTAGGCCACTTCGTGGTCTTCGAGTTCTCAGAACTCCATTCCTGGGCATGATTTTGAATGCCCGGAGGCAACTGTAGGCCACTTCGTGGTCTTCGAGTTCCCAGAACTTCATTCCTGGGCATGATTTTGAATGCCCGGAGCCAACTGTAGGCCACTTCGTGTTCTTCGAGTTCTCAGAACTCCATTCCTGGGCATGATTTTCAATGCCCGGAGGCAGGCTGATGCTGAGGCAGGCTGAGGCTGAGGCCGAGGCTGAAGGCAGACTGAGGCTGAGGCTGAAGCAGGCTGAGGCTGTGGCTGAGGCAGGCTGAGGCTGAGGCTGAGGCAGGCTGAGGCTGAGGCAGGCTGAGGCTGAGGCTGAGGCTGATACAGGCTGAGGCTGAGGCAGGCTGAGGCTGAGGGCGAGGCTGAAGGCAGACTGAGGCTGAGGCTGAAGCAGGCTGAGGCTGAGGCTGAGGCAGGCTGAGGCTGAGGCTGAGGCAGGCTGATGCTGAGGCAGGCTGAGGCTGAGGCTGAGGCTGATGCAGGCTGAGGCTGAGGCAGGCTGAGGCTGAGGCCGAGGCTGAAGGCAGACTGAGGCTGAGGCTGAAGGCAGGCTTGAGGCTGAGGCTGAGGCAGGCTGAGGCTGAGGCTGAGGCAGGCTGATGCTGAGGCAGGCTGAGGCTGAGGCTGAGGCTGATGCAGGCTGAGGCTGAGGCATGCTGAGGCTGAGGCCGAGGCTGAAGGTAGATTGAGGCTGAGGCTGAAGCAGGCGGAGGCTCAGGCTGAGGCTGAGGCCGAGGCTGAGGCAGGCTGAGGCTGCTGAGGCTGAGGCTGAGGCTGAGGCTGAGGCTGCAGGCTCTGAGGCTGAGGCTGAGGCTGAGGCTGAGGCTCCTGAGGCTGAGGCTGGCTGAGGCAGGCTGAGGCTGAGGCAGGCTGAGGCTGAGGCGAGGCTGAGGCTGAGGCTGAGGCTGAGGCAGGCTGAGGCCGAGGCTGAGGCTGGCTGAGGCTGAGGCTGAGGCAGGCTGAGGCTGAGGCTGAGGCTGAGGCAGGCTGAGGCTGAGGCAGGCTGAGGCTGAGGCCGAGGCTGAAGGCAAACTGAGGCAGGCTGAGGCTGAGGCTGAGGCTGAGGCCGAGGCTGAGGCTGAGGCAGGCTGAGGCTGAGGCAGGCTGAGGCTGAGGCCGAGGCTGAAGGCAAACTGAGGCAGGCTGAGGCTGAGGCTGAGGCTGAGGCCGAAGGCTGAGGCAGGTTGAGGCAGGCTGAGGCTGAGGCTGAGGCAGGCTGAGGCTGAAGGCTGAGGCCGAGGCCGAGGCTGAGGCTGAAGCAGGCTGAGGCTGAGGCTGAGGCAGGCTGAGGCTGAGGCTGAGGCTGAGGCAGGCTGATGCTGAGGCAGGCTGAGGCTGAGGCTGAGGCTGAGGCTGAGGCTGAGGCTGAGGCTGCTGCAGGCTGAGGCTGCTGAGGCTGAGGCTGAGGCTGCAGGCTGATGCAGGCTGAGGCTGAGGCAGGCTGAGGCTGAGGCCGAGGCTGAAGGCAGACTGAGGCTGAGGCTGAAGCAGGCTGAGGCTGAGGCTGAGGCAGGCTGAGGCTGAGGCTGAGGCAGGCTGATGCTGAGGCAGGCTGGCTGAGGCTGAGGCTGATGCAGGCTGAGGCTGAGGCAGGCTGAGGCTGAGGCCGAGGCTGAAGGCAGACTGAGGCTGAGGCTGAAGCAGGCTGAGGCTGAGGCTGAGGCAGGCTGAGGCTGAGGCAGGCTGAGGCTGAGGCTGAGGCAGGCTGAGGCTGAGGCTGTGACTGCGACTGCCGTTGCCACTGCGACTGTCATCGCGAATGCGACTACGACTGCGAGAACAGCAGAATTCTACAACTGGATTCTCATCTGAATCTTATGGGGAATGCTTCCAGATATGCTCCTACACATCGCTGTTAGGTTGCTTTGCCGGGATAATTTCTGCCGGGGAGGATGGGTTGGGGACGGGGGCCCCACGCGTTGCACGTATCTTTCCGCAGTGGACGAGGTGTCGTTGGGCGAGGGTCCCGATGCGTCGCAGGGGTCGGTCCGCAGTTCGACGGAAGACGGTTATGGTGCAAATGGCGGAGACGGTGGTGGTAATGGTTGCGTTGAAGACGACGATGGTGCCGATCTTGATAGTGACATGTCGGCGGCGAAGGCGGGAGATGATTGTGACGACGGAACTGATGCTGGTGGTTCTATGATGCAGGGATGGTGACGCCGATGAAGCCCGTACTGTGGACAGGGGACACGCGAGAGGCCTTCCCGTTTCCCCCCCCTCTCTTTCTTCTTCGCCTTCCTCCCCTGCTCTCCCCCCCCCTCTCCCCCCCCGCCGTCCTCCCCCGACGACGCCCGCGTTGCCGCCATCGGCGTCCCGACGACGCCGACGTCGCCGCCGACGGCGGCGGCGCCGCCGCCGCCGCCGGCCGCGGCGCCGCGCCGCAGGACGTCGGCGGCGCGCGCCGGTCCACCGCCGCCGCGGACGGCCCCGCCCGGCCGGCCAGGGCCCCCGCCGTGGCCCGGGCGCCGGCGGCGGCAGCTGCGGGGCCGCGTCGGGGGCTGGCCGTGGGCGCGCGTGGAGCTTGACGGGAAAACGCACATAGACAAAAGTTATCGTCGATCCCCGGGAGAATTTGGAACACATGGGAAGTGTGTGTGTGTGTGAGGGGGGGGGAAACGAGAACCCAGAGAATACAAGAAATCAAATTGGATTATCTTCGACACCAGAAGCAGAAACTTTTGGCGCTCTGCGCGGGTTTCTTGGATCCGCGCTGCTAGGCCTCCCCCCCTGCGGCGCATCCAGCGCCGCCCCTGGCGCGTTCCGCGCGCCAGGGAGGGGGGGTCCAGCGCGGATCCAAGAAACCCGCGCGGAACTCCAATAGTTTATGTTCATAGCGTTGTTTGGTTCTCCGAAGTCAAGCGGTGGCGAAGCGTCCTGGCTTGCCTACATGCCCACGCGGCAATGATCTGATTTTTGTGGTTTTGCGCGATTCGTTCCCAAAACATTTTGGCTGAGGGTGCTTTGGTTTAGCCAATCGCATTTACGTTGTATGACCACTGTGAATATCAATTCCTTAAACCGTGTGTGCACCTGCTTGCGCTTAGGGTCTCGTAGTTCTGGTCTGTGGATCTGGGCCGCGTCGCCGCCTCGTCGCCGTCCGTCGTTTGGGCTGAGTCTTCGGTCTGACGGCTGTGTGGCCGCCGTCGCCGCCCCGTCCTCAAGAAGGCCCCCAGCGTGGAATTTCGACCGACATTTCGAGGTCTCCGCCCAAGAGGACCCCGAAGACCGCCAGCAGGCCTTTAATACTCCGCGAGGACCCAGGAGGCCCGAAAGAGGCCCCGACAAATGTTCAGGATGCTTCAAGACTGCCTCCAATGGGGCTGCCCAGCAACTTCCCCAGGGGCCCGAACAGCCCAGGCACGGCTGCCCCCAAGGCAGTAGACCGCCAGGAATTGCACATGTGATCGATGGGGCACGGTGGCCCCCCCTCTCTGTCCTTGCGTGTCGAGGCCTCGAGCCCGGGGGGACCCAGGAGACCGCCCGCGGGACCCCAAGAGGACCCCCCCCCAAAGACGACCATCAGAAGTCCCCTTAAGAGACCCACGAGAGTCCCCGAGAGGCCGCCACGCGGCCCCCAAAAGGGCTTCAGAGCTGCCTCCAAGAAGTTGCTTGGAGGCCTCCCGACAGACCCCAACAGGCGCTGAATAGGATTTCTGATCAGCATCATGGGCACGGTGGCAGGATGGGCCGCATGCCACCAGGAGGTGCACACGTGGACGAGGCGTACGGTGGCCCCTCCTCTCTGTCCTCCTGTTCTACTTTTCGTCTCAAGATGCTCTGCTTCTCCTTCTGCGTTTGTCCCTCCTTCCGTTCTGCCATCGGCTGCGTTGCCGTCATGCTCCTGGGCTCTTCCCCCCTCTCTCTCGACCTGCAGACCGCCTCCCTCGTCCTCTTCGTCGTTCTCCCGAAAACCTCATTGCTCAGGGGAAGGCTGTTTACTACGTGTACCTGTCGCGCTTTTTGACCGAAGTCCTATCCGCAACCGTCGCCCAATTCTCGACATCTCACTGCGAGCTGGGAGGATTCCAGAGCACCTGAGCGAACGCGACGCCAGCGCGATGGTGCTTTGTACGTGTATGAACATATGTATGTGTGCATTGCTACATGAATCTATGTAGTTATATATATGTATATATTCACGTATATGAACATTGTTGTGTATGTATACATTTATTTATATGTGTAGACGTATGTGTATGTGTGTATGTATTTGTATTTCGTAGATGTATAGGTAGATGTAACTGTATGTGTATCTATGTAAGTTTGTATACATCTGTCATGCTCAGCGCCTTGCTTCTCCAGGGATCGAGAGGCCTTCCCTTTCTCTCTTAGTCGACGGTGAGTCGGCAACAGATCTGCTTTCTTCGCTTTCCGGATGTCTCAGTGCTTTCCTTTTGACGTGCAACTGCGCTTCGCGCTTCTTTGAACGCGAAGCACGAACAAGGATAACACATACACACACACATATATATATATATATATGTTTAATCGCTTCGCTCATTCCGCCAGCCCTCGATCGCTCTATGGGGCCTCTTTGAAGCCTCTTGGGGGCCTCTTTGGGGCCTCCTAGGGGCCTCTTGGGGGCCTCTTGGGGGTCTCTTAGGGCTCCTTGGCGGCGTCTTGGGGCCCCCTTGGGCCTCTTGGGGGCCTCGTGGGGCGGGGAAGTCGAGTGCACCCCCCTCGGAGGCCACGATCCTCGTGAGTGGTGTCGAAAAAAGGCACTCAAAACCATCTCTGGGTAGACTTGGTCGGGCTGCGGTCGGGATACTTTTCGCCGGGGGACCCCCGGGGGCCGCCCCGCGCGCGAACTAGAAATATTGTTAATCAGTTACCCGAGATCTTTGCACGCCTCTGGCCCGTTGGGCCGGCGAATAAATACATCTTGATCATACATATGAATATACATATATATATATCTATATATATATGTATGTATATATGCATGTATATATATATATATATATGTAGGTATGTATATATATATATATTGCACAGGCCATGCGCTGTGCGCTGCCACCATGCCTGGCCAAGGGCTACCCTGAGCTCTGTGATCGTGTGCAGACCCTCGCGGCCTCGGCTCGGAGGGCATGCACCTTTGTTTCACCAGCTAGAGCGGGGCCCAGTCTCGCCGACTCCGAGGGAGCCCACACAAATGGGGTTGCGCAGATGTCTGGTTGGCCCCATCCCGTGATGATGCCAGCTTGTGGTTAACAAATGATGGTCCTCCCCCAGGACTGAATCTCGCGGGGCGCGAACCAATTTTTCTAACCACGCTCGCCAGGGAGTCGTCGTGGGCGCGGCCGCGGGGATCGTGACCCCCCTTCACGGCAGCCTAAAAAGAATTGTTTTTGTTCGTATAGAATTTGGTATAGGGGGTCGTAAACAACCGAAAGGAAGTTTCTCCCCCTCTGCGGGTGACTACTGACGCGCCACAGTTGTCGTCGTCTTCGTCGTCGTCTTCGTCGTCGTCTTCGTCGTCGTCTTCGTCGTCGTCGTGGTCTGTGGTCCGTGGCCCCACTCGTCAACTGCGGTGCGCTTACTTAGCCCCCCCCCCTGGGGCAACCGCACTGCGTCGTCGTCGCCGGGGCATCCCCGTGGCGTCGTCGGCGCCGTCGTCGTCGCCGCGTTGTCATCGCTGTCGTGCCATTCTCGTCGCCGACGTCGTCGTCATGGCGATTGCAGCGGGCCTTCGCAGCACACGCCCCCCATGCGGCATCCGCGGCAGTACATCATCATCTTCGTCGTCGCGTTGACGCCGTCCTCGTCGGCGTCGGTGTCCGCGTCCGCGTTGGCGTCGCCGTCGGCTGCTGCGGGCCTGCGCGGCACACCCCCCATCCGCGGCAGTACATCATCATCTTCGTCGTCGCGTTGACGCCGTCGTCGTCGGCGCCAGCGTCGGCGCTGGCGTCGGCGTCCAGGTCTTCTTCCTCGTCCTCGCCCTCGTCCTGGTCCTCGTGTGTCGGCCGTCGTCGTCGTCGTCGTCGTCGTCGTCGTCGTCGTCGTCGTCGCGTTGACGCCGTCGTCGTCGTCGTCGTCGTCGTCGTCGTCGTCGCCGTCCTTGTCGTCTTCGTCTTTGCTGTCCTCGTCCATGTCTTCGTCCTCGCCCTCGTCGTCGTCGTCCTCGTCGTCGTCGCGTGGACGCCGTCGTCGTCGTCGTCGTCGTCGTCGTCGTCAACGACGAACACAGCGGGCATACGCAGCAACCCCGCTCACCCTCCCATGGAGCATCCGAAGTGCGTCGTCGTCCGCCGTCGCCGCCGCCGCCGTCGTCGACAAAGGATCTTGCAGTCGGGGGGCGGGGTCGAAGGAGGAGGAGGGACCCTTTCTGCCAGCCTCTGTCGCTCCGCCCCCCCCGCTTGCCCCTTGTGGCGATGTGGGCATCGCCTCTATCCCCCGCCTCCTCTTTTTTCTTTGGTTCGTAACCATCTGGGCACCACTGTCCCGCCAGAGCGGAGGCGCTGCTGTCCCCGTCCGCAGAAGCGGCGTCGCTTGCGTCGCGCCTGTCGCCCTCCTGTTGTCGACCAGGCGACGGCGCGAATCACTGGCGCCCTCGCCGTGTGCTTCCATTTGGTGGTCCCGTCCCCGCGATTCGCCCGAGCAGGGGAACCAGTTTGTTTCGGTTTGTTGATCGCGCGCCCCGCTTGTTATTGTAAATCGCGCGCTGACATTACATCGCCGATGCATTAGCGAGGCCTCTCGATCCCCCCTCCCCTTCTGGTCTGGCCCACTTCTGGCAGCCCCCACTCCCCGCGGCCTGGAGAGGAGAGCGTGGGCTGGCGCCGGCTGGGCGCGCGTGAGTCAGCGCTGGTGTAGACGTCTGCTGCCGCGGGGCGAACACTTCCGAGCATCTGTCCAATTTCCTCTTCTTTCATCTCCTCTCCTGCTTTCCAATTTCCTCTTATGCTTTAGTCTCCTCCCCTCCTTCCATATAAATTTCCATCTTTTCTGGAGCTTATTTCCTGCTGTTTCTATCCAGCTGCTTGCGGCAACCGCAGGTGTCGCGCCGGTGAAGCAACGCAAGGTGAAGAAGGTGGCGTAAAACACGCATCGTGGAGTTTCCTTGGCGCTTCTTGAAAGCTTATCCGGAGCCCTTGAAGGTCCGTTTGGGGACAGGGCCTCTTTGGGACACGCTGTGTGTCTTGGAAGCTCCCTTGCAGAAGAAGGATGTGAAGGCTACATGGAAACTTGCCCACAACAGTCTCCAGAGATGGGGGGGCCGTTTTCGGAGGACCCACGCTTTCCCACTCATTGCCCAGGCACGGGCGGCCTTCGAAAACATGTTTGTTTTCGTCACCAAACAGCAAAGGATTCTTCAACACGCCCCACAGGGCACAAAAGCAGATCTTCTCGCTTCGTCGAGCGATTCTAGTGTGTACCATGGCGTGAGCAGAGGAGGTGTAGGATAAGCAAAGTCTCGTCCTAAGGCATCCTGAGGTTAAAGACAAGGGAGCGTAGATGTGAGAGCGGGGGTGTTCTCATGCAGAGATGTAGTCGCGGTGGCCTGGCCAGTCAAAAGGATGGCGGCGTATACTGAAGGTACCAAACGCATCAAGGTAGTTCTTGGCTTAGTGCGCTGTGGTCTCGTACTCCCTAACTGTGCTTCCTGGCGGACACCGTGCAGGTCGTGGGTAGGCTGCGCCCATCAATGTGGGTCGTATAGCTTCTTATGATGGCGTAGCCTCTGCTCACTCGCTCTTTCGTGTGCGTGCTGCTGCCGAGCCGTGGCCAGCCGCCGTGCCAGTCACGGTGACGTCCACGGCGCCCACAGCCTTCTCCCCGCTCACAGACTCAGCGCCGCCGGGTACGCTCTGACCAGGACGGGCATCCCCCGCAGCCCAGTGCTTGAGCAGCTTGGTGAGACGCCTCTGGCCCCCCGTGCGTGCGTTGGTACAGCCAAGGCGCCGAGGCAGGGTTCGCCTTTCTGGTTCCGGAGCGGCCCCTCCGTTCTTGGGGATGTCAGTAGGTCGTTGGGACGTGTCCGTGACCGAGGCTAGCCGTCGTCAGAGGAGCCCCCGCGTTCCTTCTCGGGCCCTTTTTTGGTCGTGGCGCGACGGCTGCAGCAGCGGAGCTCCGTCCCGATCGGCAGAGGGTGGTGCGGCGCCCGCTCGACCTGGCAGCACGTCTCGACATGGATGCATCAGGAGGGGAAAAAACATACAGACACAATTAATCCTCGATTCCCCAGAAAATATTGGAAAATATGGGAAGTTATGGGGGGAAGACAAAAACCCAGAAAATATGGGAAAAGATGGGGAACATTTTTATTTGTGTGTTTTTATTTGTGTGTCCCAGGGCCCCTTCATGGATGCAGGCCCGTGCGGCGGGCACTCTCGTTGGCTTCACGGCGGAATCTCGGGCCAGCGCTGCAGTGGCTGCGCCACGGCGTCGCCTCCGCGGGTCCGTCGGAAGCTCCCCCCCTATACCCATCGCCGAAGCCGGTCACCACATATCCCTCCCGATGGTGATCGCGTGCGCTGCCGATCGCAGACTTTAAAACGACGCGAAGACCGGGACAAAATCGGATCGGGGTAACTCGAAATCTCTGAGAATCGGCGGGTTTGGAGGATGTATTGGGTGCCGCGGCCGCTCCAGAGCGTTCCGGAACGCTCTGAGAGCGCTCCAGAACGCTCTGGAGCGATTTGTTCCGATCCTAGCCCTGTTTTAGACTTGGCACGACCGACGCGCCCCTCGTCAAACCGGGGCGTCGTGAGAGCAGTGGGGACAATTCCTCGGAGCTGAGGAGCAGGTTCGGCCTCAGCATCGGCCAGCGCGGGCCGCAAGAGAGCTGTAGGGGGCCACATGCGAACCCTACCCCATACCACCTACGATTTCTGAGGGGGACGGCGGGGTTCACTTCGTTCGGGAGCTCCCGAGCGAAGTGAACCCCACCCTCCCCCTCAGAAATCGTGGGGGGTAGGGGTAGGGTTCGCGTATGGCCCCCTGAGCTGACGACTGCTCAAAGGCGGCGTCACCTGCACTGTCGTCGCACAGCCAGGTTCGATGCATCAGGTCCTCGAGCGCGCGCGCGCGCACCGCCTCCACAGCGCTGCTCAGGGCGTACCCCGCGCGAATCTTCGGCTCACGCGGCCACTGCCCGCTGGCCACGACCGTCAGCAGGAGACCCCGGGAGGACCAGTCGCCAGCCTCATCGAGCCTCCCGAGTTATCGGCCGACGTGCCAGAAGGCGCCACCGCGATGCAATGCGTCCCCGGCCACGTGCAAGCCCAGCGGGCTCCCAGGGCTTCGCACGGAGGTCGTGGTGGACCACGTCGTCCAGCACGGCCCTGCGTTCCGCGCACGTGGAGCAGCCCTCGTCATCCTTCCTTGGCAAGTCCACTCGTCCTGGCCCGTCGCCGTAGGCCTGTGCCACTTGGTGGCCTCCACCCAGTCTCGGCCCATGCCCAGCAGGCTCGCCTGGACAGCGCCGATCGGCCCGCGCACCCGCCGCCACCGATGGTCGCCTGCCCTGGCGAGGGCACGGCGGGCGTACGGCCATGCCCGACGCACGCGAGCAGAAAGGGCAGGAGCGATCATCCACACGGCCAACCACTCGTCCATGATTTGTGGCCGCAGCTACATGCACGGGTCCCGCAGGCCCATGGTGGCCGCCAGAGTGGAAGTCAAGCACCGCATTCCGTTGGCCCCGCTAAGATCCTGACTGGCCTGGCGCTGCAGCTTGGCGATATTGCTGTTGGCCGTACACGAACTGCGGCAGTACGCCCGTGCTCCACAACCCCCGCGATTCATTCACCAGCGCCGCCTTCCTCTTCAGCCTCAGGATGCGGCAGAAGGGATGGGAAGGGGAGGAGGAGGAAGAGGAGGAGGAGGAAGAGGAGGAGGAAGAGGAGGAGGACGAGGAGCAGGAGGGGGAGGAGAAGGAGGAGGAGGGGGGGGAGGAGGAGGAGGAGAAGAGGAGAGGAGAGGAGAGGAGGAGGAAGGAGGAGGAGGAGGAAGACAAGGAGGAGGACAAGCGCAAGGATGGTGGAGGAGGAGGAGGAGGAAGAGGAGGAGAGACGGAGGAGGAAGAGAGGCGAGGGCAGCACACGAGGAGGAGGCGGCGGAGGAGGAGCAGCATTGGACGGACAGAAGAGGCGGGGCGACGCGGGGCACCCGCAGCCCGAACACCTCAATGTGTGCGCGGGAGTGTTCGCCCCCTCGTAGGTAGCCCGGCCTGGCGCGGTTCTCCTCCGCTTCCTCCCTTGGCCGCCACCTCCCCCCCTCCTGATGCCGCCCTTCTCCTCCTCATCTTCCTCCTCCTCCTCCTCCTCATTCCCATCTTCTCCCTCCCTTTCCTTTTGCTGTCCCCTTCTCCTCCTCGCGTACGCCGCCCCTTCTGTCTCCCCCTTGGCCGCCTTCCCCCCCCTCCCTCCCGCCCTGCTCCTGTCATTCCTCATACTGTTCCTTTTCCTCTCCACCTTCTTCTCCATCCTTGCCATCGCTGTGATCTTCCGCATCGGGTTCTCGTCCTTGCCCCCATTCTCGTGCCAGCCCCCCTCTCCATTCTTCCTTCCCCCCCAGTCGCCGTCGTCGTCGTCGTCGCATTTCATCGCATCTATCCCGCTCTTCCCCCCTCTCTTTCCCGTCCTTTTCTCTTTGTGTACTACCTCTTTCTCTATTTCTTCATTTCTCTATGCACATGTAGCTTCGTCAATATGCGTTTACCAATCCTCCTGCGTTCCGTTCTCGCTATGAATCGAGCATTGCGGTCTCCAGCTGGATCCTCCCTCCTGCTTCGCTTGCTTGGGGGCAGCGAGATGCGAGACCGTGGCCACATCTGTGGGCTCCTGGGGGTCAGCGCGGCGTGGTGCTACGCGCAACATGAGTAGACTTCGCTTCCTTGGGTGTGGCGAACTGCGAAGTCGTCGCCACTTTCGTTATTCGTGGGCTCCTGGGGGGGAGGCCAACGGAGTGACGTCCTATGGGGACCCGCACGGGATCTCGCCCTCCCTCGGCTCGGGGCTGCGAGCTGCGCCGCAGCTGTCTCCACTTTCGTGAGCTCTTGGACGGTCCTGCGGAACGACGTCTCGCGAAATTCGTGAGCTTCGGGGAGGTCTTGCGGAGTGGCGCCATACAGGGACCCAAGCGAGACCTCGCCCTCCATGAACGCTGCCACGTGCTATGCTTGCTTCTTCTTGCATCTCGTTAGGGACGCCTGGAACTCAGAGGTGTCGGTTCCGTCGGCAGCACAACCAACTCGTACGCCGGCACTCCCGTCACGGAAGTACTTTGGGCGTTGCGTAAATGGGGGGGCGATACGTTGGGGGACGGCGAGGGCTGCAGAAAAGGCGTTTTTTTTAGGGCCCCCGGAAAGGGGATCTTTAGGGCCCGAGAAGTACACGCTGTTTCCCCACAAAAAAAAATACCGCCCGGAGGTGGATAGACCTCCTACCCTGCCACGTCGATTAAGGAATTGGCCGTGGTCGGTTCGCGAGAGGTCGTCGCGGCCGTCATTTTGCGGGTCCAGGTCCGTCGGTTTCGGTCCCAGGCCGTTTTCATTAAGGGGAGGTTTACGAAAGGGAGGTTTGTCCACCGCCGAACCGCCCCCCCATGAGGCGACGCCCAAATACTGCCAGGACGTGCACCAGCATGTACGACTTCGGCAGCCGCACCGGCAGCCCAAAACGCCAAGCGTCCACGAGCGTTCGAAGTTGGAACGCCTTCGAAAAGTGCCCTCAAGCAGCCTCTCACAAGGAGTAAGTCGGGCGTGTCCGTCTACAGAGGGATTTTGTGTGATAAAATATAAGATACTCAAACATATTCCCAAATGATCAGAAATAGTAAGAAAACAGCCTCCAGACATTTTTTCTTCTATTTTGAAAATTCCCCCTGTAGGGGGACAGGCCCGACTTAACACAAGAAGCAGCCCTCTGCAGCGCCGGCAACCCATGGAACAGGCGACTCCTGCTGCAGCTGAGTATCCTGGCGCGATGCCACATCAATGTTGGCAACGTCTGCAGGTCGGCGGCGCGCCTGGCAATAAGTCGGGCGTGTCCCTCTACAGGGGGAATATTCAAAAATAGTCAAACATAGTCAGGGGACGATTTGTTTGACTATTTTATGTTTGGGGGGTATTGTTTGAGTATTTTTTATTTTTCGCCCAAAATCCCCCTGTACGGGGACGCGCCCGACTCAAGCCTGGGGGGAGCGAGAAGGGGCGGACCTTTTAAGAAGGCTCGGAAGTCCTCCGGCCTTCTGAGGAGCTTGCTGCGCCTTCCCCAAAGACAGAAAACCTTTCAGAAGACCGAAGGCCTTCTGAGAAGCCCCGCCGCCTTTGGGAAGCCTTTGTCTTTCTCACGAACCCCCCTCGCTCCCCGTCGAGCACGACGCCGATAACAACCATACTTTTGAAGCCGAACGCTCTCACTGCGCAGGTGTGCAGACACGCTGTTGACGAACAGTTGGAAACGATCAAGGACGACATTCGAGCCACAAAACGGTACGGGAGTCGCATGAAGCCCTGACCAAGTTTGTGGAATCTTTGCAACAAGATATTGGGCCTCTCACGGCCGACGTCGCGGCACTTGAAATCGAGCCTTGCTGGCCAATGTTTTTGGTGGGTCTGGGTCTGATGGTACCGTGGATACTGTGACCCAGCAGAAATTTGACTAATTGGAATACAACACGTAACGGCTCAGGCATCAACATATCCCGCGATCATCCACGTGTGCGTCCTTGGTTGATTGCGACAGACGGGTTTGCACAAACATAGTTGGACATGTGGACGGCGTCGACATCTTCCGTGCGGCGTCCGCCTGGTTCCGGGATGAACTCTCTCAGGGTGCAGGCCCGCAATTGCACAATTCATATATATATACATATATATATATGTATATATATATATGAAAGGCGATGTCAGGCAACAACACTTGAATATTATAGTTTGAGTTCGGCAATGCGCTGGGTCGGGACGCTGCAGCTCCATTGATAAGGAGCGCAGTTTTGAAACATATTGGTCGAACTCTTCGGGCTTCCCCAGGCCGTCTCCCGACGAAGCCGGCAGCCCGCAGATATTGTAATGGCCTCCGGCCAGTGCCGCCGATCCGGGGCGCTCCCGATGCGTGTGGGAACGGACGATGACGACGACGACGACGACCGACGACCGGGTCAACGACGGACGATGATGACGAAGACGTCCCTCTCCCCCCGCTGCCCTCCGCGGTTTCTTGGACCCCCACCCCCGCTTGAGCTCGACCCCCCCCTCCGTCCCCGCTCGACCTTCCTCCTTGGACCCCCCCCCCCGCTTGACCTCGATCCCCCCCCCCCCGTCCTCGCTCGAGCTCCCCCCCCCTCCCCTCGATTTTTGAATCCCCCCCCCCCGCGCTGACCCCCCCCCGCTTGAGCTCGACCCCCCCGTCCGTTCGACCCCCGCCCCCGTCTTCGCTCGAGCTCCCCCCGCACACCTCGATTCTTGGACCCCCCCCCCCGCGCTGACCCCCCCCCCCGCTTGAGCTCGACCCCCCCCCCTCCGTTCGACCCCCCCCCCGTCCTCGCTCGAGCCCCCCCCCCCCCACCTCGATTCTTGGACCCCCCCCCCCGCGCTGACCCCCCCCCCCTGATTGAGCTCGATCCCCCCCCTCCGTTTGACCCCCCCCCCCCGTCCCCGCTCGAGCTCCCCCCCCCCTCGATTTTGGACCCCCCCCCCGCGCTGACCCCCCCCTTGAGCCGACCCCCCCCCGTCCCCGCTCGAGTTTCCTCCTTGGACCCCCCCTCCCCGCTTGAGCTCGCCCCCCCCCCGTCCTCGCTCGAGGTCCCCCCCCCTCGATTCTTGGACCCCCCCCCGCGCTGGAGCGTTCACTGAATTGCGTGGACAATTCGCTGGATCCCGACCCCCCCAGAGCGAAGCTTGAGCGAGCTCAAGCCCACGCTCTCAGAAATTCACACGCCGGATCGGCGGATTGTTTCGGTATGAAGTAGATTATTGAAAATACCTTCCAGAGCCCGTTCACCATCAACGTCACAGACGTCGCCTTACGAGGTCTGGGTGGGATGAGGGCGAACCACAGTAATCACTCAATGCATGAGCACTGTGAACAGTGGCCGGAACGTTGGGAAATTGGTACAGTTATCAGAGCATCCCAAACTGGTAGAGTTGCCCGGAACAAGTGATGCTGTAGTGCAGCGGGCCCAACAGGAAAAAAAAGGGGCGTAAATGGGACGATCAGATGGGCACGCGGAAGAGGAGGAGTCGGAACATATGAAACACATGCAGTATTGGGAGCAGTCCGACCTGATACCAGAGCCGCAGGGGGAAACAACGGCTTCTCAACACACGGTGTTTCACATGTTCGCCTCGTTTGCACCACATTTTGCGTTGGACATGACAGTTGTTCCGACAGGTAACGAACTGCCGAATGTGGGCAACGCTGCCACAAGGCCATCGTTACCGCAAGTACGTTACCGATTTCTTCATGGGTATCCCGGCGGAGACGGTGTATTACGGGCTCGGCTTCGTCTCCTTCCCCACCAATCCTCTACGTTTTCGATGGACGTGGGACAGACGCCAGTGCCGAAAGTGGCTCCCAGCCAATGTCTTTGAATACCGTTTCTCAGTCCCTTCGGTTGACACCTGGGATTTTTGGGGCAGGGTCTGGGCCGTTACAAGCATACCATGACCGAGCATTGATCATCGCAGTCGCCTGCTTCGCCATGTTTAACTTGTGTTTCACTTCTTCTTTTGCCGGTATCCCCGTGGCTGCAAACTCGCGCAGCGCCAGGCCTTGCGCTCATATCTTCCACGGCAAGCCGCACATGGTCCAGATCTCGGCGAAGATGCGCACCGATCCCAATTCGGGTTTGGATCGCGGTGGGCTCCAGTGGGGTCGCGCTTCCAATTTGCCGCGCTTTGCCAACCAATGGCATTGGATTTGGATGCTACCTATCTTTTGCACCCAAGAGACGCAATTCCACGGAACACAATATAGCGACTATAATTTTCTGATTTGGGGAAGAGCGTCCAGATTCACGATTCGTCGTGGGATTTGGATTTGCTGCGGCCTCGTGGGCGCGTGGTGGCCTCGTGGCACTCCGGGCGCCCATTTTGCCATGGCCTACGCTCCAGGTTCGAGTGTGGCATGGGATCGTGTTGCTTCTGTCCTTAAATGCCGCGCAGTTGATCTGATTGGCAAGGGCGCCGGTTCTTGATTTGAAGAGGCATGGCTCCAAACGTGTTAATTGCAAAAAACATGTCGGTGCGCTCGCGCCTACGCGAAGCAT